GCAGCTCTTTCGCTGCTTGCAGATGTGCCACATTCAGCTCAGCTTTAAGCGCAGACGCTTCGCTCCGTGACTTAAAAACCTCACTCCGACCTGCGTCACACATTCGATGCCGGGTTGCTCTTAAGGATGTTTTCTCAGTTCGAGAAACTTTGCACGAGTCTCTGTTGAACCCGGTCACCTTTTTTCTCTGCTCCCGGACAACTTTCACACGTGAGGCCGGTCTTGCAAGTGAGCGTAGAATCGGGGCCAGCATAAATGGGGCTTGTATTCAGCTGGCTTTGGGGCCAGAGAGGGGCCCAGCCCGTTCCGGATATTGCCGCCGACACCCGGGTGAGTATAAACCTGCGCATTCTACACACCTGCTATGCGCGTTTGATTTTTTCTTTTGGCTTGAAGCAACTGTGGGTGCGGCTCTTTGTGAGGCTGAACATTTTGTACCGCTTACGCCCCCAAGCTCCTGCCCTCTACTCCTCCCCTGTCCTGTTACTCGCTGCTCTATACCATGTACGTTTACTCTCCCTCAGTACCCATCTCCCCCCCCCCACTTCTTCCAGTCAATCTCTCCTTTCTTTTTTTTTTTCTCAGCGTGTACAGACTTTTGTCCACGTGCCCTTATTTTTTTCCAGGGTCCTTTGCTTGGGGGGGCTGTGAGAAAGCAAAGTGAGGGGGGGCTGGGATTTAAAATTTAAATGCATTTAGAAGAGGTTGTAAATCTGCCCGCTGAGGTTTGTGTGTTTGTTTGTGTTTGTTTGTGCTTAGCCTGCGGTGTCAGAACAAGAAGAGGAACTTAAATAGACAGTTGTTGCCCCCTCTTTATAAAGCCTGTTACAATTTCTGCTTTGGGGTGTCCAAGGGTCAATTTGGTGTCCCGACATTTAAAACCCAGAATCTTATCATGTTTTCAAATGATTAGTAAGCAAATTTTCCTTTGTGACATAACAGGCGCTGAGAGTTAGTCACAGAGTCTTTGGACGGGATAGAGCTGCGCAGAATTGTGCAAGAAATGTGCAAGGAGCATTTAAATCCCACACTACTGCCAAAAAAAAAAGAAAAAAAGTTTTTTTCACAAAGTTACATGAAATCAATCATTTAGTTATGCACAGAAAATAAGAGAATTACCTCCTTCTCAGTTTTTCCATTGGCGTGTAAATTTTGTCAAACTAATTAGTTGATTTTGAAAGTTTTTTCCCCCACAAATTCTCAGTTTTCGTTTAAATACCCCAAATGAGAAGGACCTTAGCTTTTTGTCATTTTTCATTTTAGATCAAGTCTATTTGCCTTAAAAGATGTCTTTTTTTAAATGAAAGCTGGTCCTAGAATAGTTTTCATTTGTTTTGAATGTGTCTAAGGCTGGGGCTTTGTGTAGATACTGAGGGTACAAAGTGTTCTGATGCTTGGACAAGCTGGAGGGAATGTATACACTCAGTGTAGCTGTGTGTGTGTGTGTGTGTTTTACAGCACATTAGTCCAGATTTATAGCTCACCGGGATCCCTCCATCCTGTTTTCTCTCCCATCTATCCCCTATAGCATCCCCCCTGGAGTTTGTAGCCACATATCTCACCTTTGTGCCAGAATATTTTTCCTCATGGCCTTTTTTTAGAAGTTGATCTTTACTTTTTAGATTTACATTAATTTGGAGACTGAATGATTCTGCTTTGCATGACAAGAAGAAGATGAGGCCTGGGCTACACTCGCTCTAAACTAAAGAACCAGCTCAACAAAGGCTAAATAATTTAAGGCCAGACTTGGAAAACATACAATATTTATGCGCTGGTGCCTGTGATTGCTGCTACAGTTCGGCATGCGTGGCTGCACAATAGGTGCCGCCCCAGTGGCCATTTAGGATTCTGCCTTCTGCAATTTAAAAAGCATGGCCGCAGTAGTAAATGTGGACATCTATCAGCACCTGGACATTCGCTTATTTATTTAGTGTCTATTAAATGCATTCACATGACATTTACTGGAGTCACTATCAGTAATAATTTAATGAAATTTGTTCGGTAAATATGTAAAACTACACAAAATGTTTTTTTTTCTTTATCCACCGTGGAAACTGAATTTATGAGGGTATAGGGACTGAAGGGCTTGAAAGCCAAGATAATGACTTCAGTGATGCAGGGGAGGTAAAAGGGGGTGTCACAGTATGCCATCATATCATTGGTTGTGAGATTCCAGTAGGATGAAGAAGCCCCTCCCCTTTTCTTCAAGTTTTGCTCACACACAAAGTTTAGTATAAGGTGGGCTTACATTTGCTGTGCACATTGTTGTGTATGTACCAGTCCATATTCAGTACCTGATTCTGGAACACTTTTCCTTACAGAAAACCTGTTTGGAGCTGAGTAGGGCTTCTGTTTGAGGCTTCGGTTTGGCTGACAAACTGTTTTTTAGAAGTTGATCTGGCCCTGGGCACATTTTTAGGACTCTTGTGTGAACTCCTCCCAAGGTTTAACCTTTAACAAGCCAGAGAACAGGGTAAATGCAACATGCAAGGCAGTACTGTAGAACAGTTAGATGTTTTCATCAATGTGTGACAATGTAAATTCGTAAATGCACATTTTACATACATGACTCTTTTCTGTTAAGCCATTTCCGTTTTTTTTTGTCAGTTAAGAAGTAAGAAGTTTCCCCCCTTTTGTTATACAGGTCATACCCACAGCTGAGGTCCCAGAGGAGGTTCATACAGAGAAAGAGGAGGTTCATACAGAGACAGAGGTAAAAACAAATCTTATTTTGACAGACAAACGTGCTTTTCTGCCCCCGGCAACCTCATATGGATCCCTTGTTGTTGGGTAATAAGCTAGAGGCAGATTAAACAGGTGGGAATGAGTATGAGCGGAGCATTACTCAACATGACACTTCCAAATTGAGACCAGATTTGATTTTTCAAACAGCTTGCAACAGTGAAATTTTAAAACGCCTTAAAGAGGCAGTGCATATTGCACAAGATCTTTTTTGGGCATGAGAGATCAGCCATTTTAGGTTCTAAAAACGGGTTGAAATCACCCTGAAACATGTGCACAATAGAGGGCAGTCATTGAGTACACAGTTTAAACTTAACCCACCACAAAACAGCCTCAGTAATCATAACATAGATTAAAACAGAATATTAAGCTTCATACCTATTGAACAAAAAAACACTCATTTTCTGTCCTTAACCCTATAATGCCAAAAGTATCATATTTGATACATACGGTTTCTAAAATGTTTTGCGTCTGACACCTTTTGCGTAATTTAATGGTAAAAACTTAGCTCAAAATCCTATTGTACACAATCAGATACACCTGATAACAGGGGGCAGAAGACTGCACAAAAAACAATCTTGACTTAATAAGTAATAATTAAGTAATATGTAATTAAGTAATAAATTATTAATATATTATTAATAATATAATTTATTTTTGTTTTTTGTTTTTACATATTTTGTTAAAAGGCCAAATAAAGACTTAAAACAAAAAAAATAAATTTTCAGTTTTGTTTTATTCTTGGATCAGGCTTTAAAGGGTTACATTTAAACATGCAGGCATTCTGTCAGAGAGAGTTTAATATCAATTGTGTTATGTGTCGCCTTCCATCCAGATTCTGCCAGTGGAAGCTGCAGATGTCAAAACAGATGTTGAGCAGGTGAATTTTTCCATTTTTAAAAGATGAGTTTTTTTGCTCATGCATGCTAACAACATGGTATGGTTCATACCTACTAAGTTTTGACGATTAATAGAATTCTGGGCACGTGTTTTGCAACGTTTGACGTGGGATTCTTAACCATTTCAAGCAAAAGCCCTGACCTGTTTGTTGTGCACGCTGCATGCTTTCTGAACGTGTGGACTTTGCATGTGCAGATGCACGCTGTCTGCGAGACAGTGGCAGAGGCAGAGGCAGAGGCAGAGGAGGAGGAGGAGGCCGGGGCTGTGGCAGAAGAAGAGTCTGTGACCGAGGCCGAGGTGGAGGCGGCCGCCACGGAAGACGTCTCTGAACCAGAAACCTTAACGGAAACCATCGAGGAAGCACCGGTGGAAGAACTCAGTGCCGACCAGGTCTCAGAAGAGCCGGAGGCTGCCGCGGAGAACGAGGAAGCTGCCGTTGAGTCGGTGATGGAGGCCGAAACGCAGACGCCCGAGCCTCAGGGCGACACAGAGGCCAGCAGTATTCCAGCCCCTGCCCAGGAGCCAGAGGCCGGGGGGGAGGTTGAGGTGTTGGGTGATGAAGAAGCTGCTGTCCCTGCTGAGCCCGTTACAAATGCAGAGGTGCAACATCCCATACTGTCCTCCTCTTAGTTTTTTCAGAAAGATATCGATTTGCGATTGTTTGGTTGCTAACAAACAGCATGTCGGTGTAGTTATTGTAAAAGTGTGTTGTGTTTTGGTTCCTTTTCCCCGGCATGTTCTCTCTCTTTTACAATATGTTTTTGGCTAACACCCCTGTGTATCCTGTTATTTGTCTGATTTCCATCAGGATGCTGCTGTGCAGTTAGCGGAAGTCCCAGCGGTGAGAACATTAACTTGTCATTAAATGTTTTTGCTGAGTGATATTCGATGAATAGAAAGAGATTTTTTTTTTCATTTCTGTATGTGGTTCAAACATACTGACATGATGGAAACTGTGACCTCTCCAGGTTCCAGAAACAATCCCCGAGGCTCCCGTAAACGAAGCTGAAGCCCCAGTCATTGAAGCCAGTGAGGTAAAACTTCAAGTCTGGGCTTCTGACTTAACAGGAAAATATCTAAACCAAATATCTTTTGCCCGGGTAACATTTTCTCTCTTTTTTTCTCCTGATTCTCAGGTTTCGGCTGACACGCTGGTCGATGACTTCATAGTCACTGAATCCGCGTCAGCAGTAGAGGGGGCCATTGCTGCTTCTGTTGTCCACCAGGTTAGCGCTGCACAAACAGGAATAATGCAGAACCTCGTTCTTTAGTCCGTATTCCGTTCGGTTCCGTTCTCCGATTCGTCTTCAGCTGTTGAATGAAAGTGGTAGATGCATTCCAAAAAACAGATAGAAGTCTCTCCAGCATGTCCATGGTGAAAAAAGTCACGGGCAATAAACCAACATAAGGCAAATAAAGAGTCAAAAATATGCAGGTGTGATGGTATGCATGCATAGCGTGATGACATAAGCAACGCCTGTTTTAGGAGGTCCATTTTCAGTGCTTTAAAGTGACCTTTGACCTTTGCGTTTAGGAAATCGAGACCATCGATGCCCAAGCATATCCTGATCCTGAGCCGGCTGTTGCTGCACCAGAAGAAAAAGCTGTCACAGTAAGCCCCGTTCTGTACAATACACGTTCATCAGTCCACCTAAGTTTAAAAAAATGAATTGCCCTCCCTGTGTAACTTCTTTTCATTATTCTGATTATCTGTAAAAAATACAAAAGGCTTTGTCTTTTTTCTGCTGCAGAAATTGATGTCTCCTTTCCTTTTCCAGGAGGCTGCAGTTGAAAACACATGTCTGGAGACTCTGTCAGAAGAGCCAAAGCCAGAAATCTGTGAGATGCCATGTCAGATGCAGCTCTCTGTGGAGTCTGTACCCCTCAGCTCAACGGTAAATGGCGTTTGCTCAAGAAAGAAATAAGGCTTAAACTCCTCTTCGTAATGTTTAGTCTATGTTTTTTTTCGTCTTTAAGCCAGGGGCTTATTGGATTATTGCAGATGAACAGACATAAACACAGATGCGATGGTTTGATATTGAACAATCAGACTTGAGAGAGAAACACGTTCTCTGGTGACTGCATTTATCAGCTATTTAGAGTCAATAAACATGGGCGGGAGTGTTGTTTGATATGGATTTAGTTCTCAGTCAAAACCAGCTTCATTTAGTTGAATCCATTTTTTTTCATGTGGCAGCTACTCACAACTTTTCTGTCCATTTTTTTTCAGGATATCTCAGTGGAAACAGCATTGAATGGACACATGGTTCCAGAAGTCTCTATTGAGGGTTAGAGATGCAAAACAGCTCAGAAGATCGTTTTCTATGTGTAAGGTCTTTAAATAAGTCCAATAATGCATCACTTCTTTGTGTTAATTCACAATGCAATCCTGTTGTTAACCTTTTAATTTTAACCAAACACCTGTGATGTTCTTCTCTTTCAGATTCCCCCTTGGTCATTTGGAGGACTCAAAGCTTTACAATGAGTCAGCGAGCCAAACTTTTCATTTTTTAGGGCTTAGGACAGAATAGCCAGGAAATCAAAGGGACATCCACACTTTGAAGTGCCTTTCCTGTCCTCTTTTCTGTCGAAACCTCAAACCAGATCTCAGCAGTCGCGCTCAAGTCAGCGGCGGCCGAAACAAATGGAAACTAACGCACGACGCTCTCGTATATTCCCACTCGCACACGAACACAAAAATCCATGTCTGTGATCACCTCTGCCCCAATGCTCCACACACCTAATGCATGTGAACCACGTAGCATCGGGCATCGGGCCTGAAGTTTGCAGGCTTATTCTTAAAGGGAGGGACTTATGCAGTTTTTTTTTTTTTGTACTTCTTTCAAGTCACACATTTTAATCACCAAAACCTTTTAAAGAGACACATTTTTAAGCCTTCCCCCCGACCTCCATTCCTGTCCCCTGTTCCGTATTCCAGTGTTCTCCGTCTGAGCCGAGTGCCGATGCAACGATTAGTGAGATGCCACGATTACAACGTATCGCTAGAGTTTTAGGACCGGTGGCCACTGAAGCCAGGCGAAGGGCGTTCTCTGTTTGTTTCTTTTTCACTTTCTCCTTTTGTAATTCATTTTGTATTGACAAGATGATGTGCTACAGTTTTGTGTTCAAAGACTGTGCTATGGAGGGGAAACGTGGCGTGATTATTACTGTTGAGCTGTTGATGGGCTGCCTCATCCTTTGAAATAAAGCTGTAACTCATCTATAGGTGTCTGGCTTATTTGCTTTAATTTTTGATCAAACCAGTCCCCACATTATAACAGGAGGGCCTCAAAAAAGCTCTTAGCCATAATGCACCGGATTTTAGGATATTTTTTTTTTTACTGAAAAGAGCTTTTTTGAGGCCTTACTGTTATGATGTGGGGATCAAATGAAACTGAAGAACACAGAAGGCTGACCATGTGAAATAACTAAAAACATTCCTCCAATCACACACAGTGGAGGAGGGGCGACCATCTTAAAATCACTGTTACTGATCAATTCCAGACGCAGGCCTCTTGAAGTCTTGAATCCCTGACTCAAAGTGGAGGTAACAGAAACGTTTCTGTTTCTGGAATTAAACTGCTGATCTGAATACCTTATAAATGAACTTCAATAAATGCTGAGTACAGGCATTTTAGTGGGATAATTAATTCATGTAGATATTGAAAACGAAAACTCCATATAGAGCTCAATTGGACTTTCTTAAAATGTATGCATATTTATTCTTATCTAATGACTTACTCATACCTTTGATCATTGCTTTGACATAATGCATTGAGAGTAAACATATGCAGTAAGTCTTATCTTAATAACTTTTTAGTTGACAGGACACTATTCGTTCTTACAGGACATTTTAGTGGGTATCTTTCAGAGGATTCTTTATAGACATTGTAAGAATCAATTCCATGGTTTTTGGTCAGTGCAATGTCTCAATTCGATCCAATATATCTTGATGATTTATTTTAAATGTGCTGCTTCTTCCAAAAAGAAGCTAATAAAAAGGATGAATCTGACTAAAAAGTGTTTCACTCCTATAAAATGTTGCAAACACAAATGTTATGCTGAAAAAGACACCGAATAGTTTTTCCTCAGATCAAAAGGATTTTTAATCATTTGTTTTTGCATTGAAATTTACATTCATATTAGTATGATGTAATTTGGTACAGAAAACACTGCCGATGAGTGGTTTTTGCTACCTTCCCCCTCTACACTCTCATACTGTCAGAAAAATCTATTCGTCTTTATACTTAGGTTTGATGGCCCCTTGCACTGGAATTTTGAAGAAAATGTTAGGAAACGAAACAGAAGAAAAAAGTTCACTTTTGCCTTGAAAGAAATAAAGAAAATGATAACAACATTAAACAGACCGTGAAACCAAATGATACGGCTTAAAGTAGACAAAGTGACAACAGACAGGACATACATTTGCAAAAGAACAACCATATTGTTTGATGCTTTGGAATGAAAAACAGCAACAGAAGTGCGCCGTGACTGACCACCAGCTGTCCCGGCTGCACTCTGCATGTTCCGCTTATATATTATGGGGAATTTTCTTCTTGTGCCATTAAAATACATGCGTAAGCTATCGGCCCCCAACTTCCCCACACAACACAGAAATAAATAAGGAAACAAGGGTTCTGGATTGGCCCGTGAGGTAAGTGTGAAAGCAAAAATAAGAGAAAAAGGTAGGAAAAAAAAGTGTGAAAAGATTTTTAAGTGATTCAAACAACAGATCACAAAACAAAAATGAGGCGAGAAAATAACAGAACAAAGCAAAACAAAAACAGTTGTGATTGTAGGCCTGATGACCAGCAGAGTCAGATCCCGTGCGTGCAGAGGGAATCGTGCTGGCACACGTTCCACATTCGCACGGTTTCGGCCTGCAGCAAACGTGACTAAATAAATCCCGAGGCTGCAATCTTTACAAAGCCACTTGACGAATGACAAGGATTCTCATATTTACACCGAAGCAATGATTAACCCGACAAGGAGCTCGATACAAACATATAGAACAAATCTTAGAGAATACAGAGCACGAGACCGGGGACACATTCTCTTTTCAATCCTTCACTTTTTGATTGTTTGTCCACTAAGCAGTGCGCTGAATAGGGGGGAGCTCAAAGACACGGAGAAGGGGGCTCATAACAGTGACGGCGTGTCAAGAAGAAGAGCACTTTAGTAAAAAGAGCTGCTCCCCGTGCTGACGGCCCTGAACCTGCCGCTGTGGAGGTGGTCGCTGAAGCGGAGCGTGAGCGCGTGGGCTTAAAAGAGCACTTAAAAAACAGACTGCGTGTTTGGAATTGACACGGACCTCCTCAGCAAAGTGGCACGAATCCGAACGAGTGCGAGTAGCGGTGGTGGTCCGAGCAGCACCCCAGGTCGTCACCCCACTGAGGAGGACACAAACCCAAAAAAGCTGTAGAACTTCCAAAGTTTTCAGTCCGTAGTTTCCAAAAGATCAATCTCGGTATTCATCCAATGCTGGGTTACGGTCGGAGTGGTTTCAGTGAAGAGGTGCTTGCTTTAACTTAACTTTTTCTTCTTCTTTTTTTTCCTCTTTGTTTCTTCCTTTGAGACCACAGAGCTTGAAAACTTTCCCATCTGAATGATATTTTTCCCTTTCTTGCATGGTGGGGCTGGCATGCCGGATGATGAACAGCCATGTGTAGTTCCTTGTGTTCTAATAAACTGACACCGACCGACTGTTTCCAAAACGTGCCGCGCACAAATGACAGTCTTACCACCAACAGCCAAATCCCATCAGCCTTTTTTTTTTATTAGTGTTTGGTCGTGCTTTTCTCATCTGAATACAACTGTCATGATAATCGGCCTTTTACAAGTCCTTTTCATCATTTTCATTTTCCGTTTCATCTTCTTAGTGTGACTGTTGCGCTCTCCTTTCCCTTCCGAAGTTTGCAGCACCAATCAGGCAGTCGCACAGGTAGGCAGTAAGTTTAAGAACAATCTTTAAGTTTTAGGTGGCTGTTTATGAACCAGGGAGGATAGATATATATATATATATGTATGTATATATATATATATATATATTTATTTTTCTTACTACAGCCACAAAATGAGCCGTCAGGTCTTTTTTTTTTATCACCTTTTTGACTGTAGAAACAGAAGAAAGTAAAGAAGGAGGGAAGGAATGGTAGAGAGGACACCTCTCAGAGGCTCTGCGCCCCCAAAGGCCCAATGTGGGCTCAGTCCTGTCCAATCTGGCCCAGTCTAACCCCTTGTTCTTGTTTGGTTCCACCAAATCCAGTCCGGTTGTGTCCGTCTGGTGTGGCCGGGGGTCTGCGCCAGGACTTTAGAAGAGTGCTTTGGATCCCTGGTTCTCGAACTCTGACCAGGCGTCGTTGAGTTCCATGAAGATCATCTTGGCGTACTGCTCGTACGGCTGACCCGCCGCCTGCAAAGAGGAGCGGCAAAAAACTCGCATCGAAACCGAGAAGCAGCCGCGGTCGAGCCCGGCGCGCGCGGACACACCGTACCTTATCGGGATGCACAATCAGCACGGCCTTCCTGTAGTACTTCTTCACCTGGTCGGGGGTCACCAGGTCGGCCATGCCCACCGGCTTCCAGCGGATTTCGCCCTCCCACAGCACGGTGTGCAGAGTTGACAGCAGCGCTCGGATGTTTCTCTCTTTCCCCTCGATCCAATCCAAAATCTGGGGCGTGGGGGAAAAAGACAGGCCTTCGTTTCACCCTGGACAAAGTCTCTGAGGTAACTTTGTAAAAGGAGGTTTGGCGTGTCACTTGGACGGCCCTTTAGACCAATAATGACAGGGAGGTACAGTATGAGGTGCCTCACTTAATAAGCGAGGTGTATTTTCCCAGGCAACGGACGCGGAACGCTGAGTCTTTCACATTCCTACTGCTTAGTGTTCTACCTGTAGTTTAAGCGGGTCCATCTCTTTTGTGATCTCCTGTCTTCTCATCTCAGCAATGGTCCTTGGTCCCTTCCTGTCAGGTTTATAAGCAAAACCCTGAGTGGAGAGCAGGTCCTCGAAATCGTCCTCTTTCACTTTTGGCTTTGGGCCTGCGTTACGGAAGAAAAAGAGGCAAACCGTCATACTCAATGCAGACTGGGCAAAAGCTTTGGATTTTTTTCCCTTCTTAAACCAGGTTCTCTTACCAAATCCAGGTCCGCGAACTCCCCTCTCCTCTCTCCCGCCGATGACGCTGGAGAAGTTAAGGTTGTAGTTGGGTTTAGAGGGCTGTGCGGCGGCAGGCTGAGACGCCGAGGAGGTTTTAGGTGCCGATCCAGACATCCAAGCTTTACTCTGGGCTGAGGCGGGTCTGGCAGACTGCCAGGGCTGCTGGGCTTGAGGCTTACTGGAGGAGGAGGAGGTGGTGGTGGAGGAAGACGGGCCCTTTGTGCTAAAGGAAGGCCCAGAAAAGTTGCTGCTGGAAGAACCTGCTAGAAAAACACAAAGAGGGATGAAAGTTGCACCGGATGGGATATATTTCATCATGAATTTCAAGACCAAGCTTCTTACCTGGCAAGTTGGAGGCCAGGTTGCCGAGGTCCGCGAAAGGATCGAAGGTCTGGGACTTTGCTTTGGACATGGAGGACATGCCAGAAGCTAAAAAAAAAACAACAAAAAAACAGGAGCAACATGGTACTTAGAATCTGATTCAAGTATTTTTTCTTTGTCCTCAAAGCTAACATCTATCTCCAGTCTCTTTTTAACCCATTTATAATATTTCCCCCCACCGGTGTTGGTATATTTGGGTTTGCTGGTCGTGGTGCTCATGCCAGAGGTGGAGCCAGATGTCCAGCTGTCCCACCCACCGAGCAAATCCGGCTGGCTGGCTGAAGATGTCATCTTTGGTACATCTTTCACAGCTTTATCTGTGGAGACGAGCATCGGCAGATTAACCCGATTTGTTATATATATATATATATATCTTTAAAAAAGGTACCGTGGGGAGATGAGATGAGGGTGGTAGGGGATCTGGGTCACGGTGACACAATGTTCGCTTACTGAGGTTGAAGAGGCTAGTGTTGGAGGCAGGTGTGTTGTTGCTGTGAGCTGAGCCGAATCCGCTGGTGGCTGAACTGTCGGAGGCCAAAAAGTCCCCGAACAGGTCCGGTCCAGATGCTTGTCGAGACGACCCGACACTGGAGCCTACACCAGACCCAGACCCCATGCTGAACGGGTCAAACGGGTCGGCAACGGCTGCAACAAGCATAAGGCAGAAGAAGCAACGGATGTATTAAATGCACTTTTTCCCACCCGCCCCCCTTTGGTTGTTTCAGTGCTTTTTGGGCTCTTTTTCTTTACGTTTTGAGTCTGGTGTGGTGCCACTGGTTGGCCCGCTGAAGAACAGATCCTCCTGCACCGCTGCGGTCTGACCAGCAGGGGGTGCAAACAGGTCGTTGAGCAGGTCGCTGTTGCTGGAGGCGGCTTTGAGTCCTCCCTGCTCCGCTTGGTGGTGAGGAGCGGAGGAGGAGGCCGATGACGAGGAGGGAGCTTCAGGGTCAGAGTTCAAACCTAAGAGGTCGGCGGTACCGCCGAGGGGAGTCTCCGGGGCAACGGGAGGGGCTGTCTGTGAGGGGGGGGGGAAAGACGTCATGAATAAACTGAAACAAGCAGAGGGAGAGTAATGGAAATAAAGAAAGACAGCATCGGTGTGCCCGAGAAGAGGTAATAAGGCTGAAATCCAATTATTTCTGGACCTGGAAGTCGGCATCAAACTGATGCTCGCTGTGATCACGGGACAGAGGCTCTCCACTGGTGGCCGAGTACGAGTAGGACTCCCCCTCTGACTGGTCACTGAGGTCCTCTTGGTCATTGAAGGAGCCTCCTCCCTGGCTGTCTGACGCGTCGTGTGCGCAACGCATATCTATGCATGCAAAAAAAAACAAGTCAAAATCCTAGGTCAGAGTAAGAAACCTCTTTTCCGGAGTGTGATGAGGAATTTGTGTAGCGAGTTGATATTCAACAGGTAAAACTTTACCTTCCCAATCAAGCGTCTGGAAAAAGTTGCTGGGATTGGTGTCGTTGCTCATGGGGGATTCTGCTTCTGCTGCATTCGGACCTTCTGGGGCCTGGGATGGCTCTGCTGACTCTGAGTCGTAAAATGCAGAGGAGCCTGGCTGCCGAGGCAGCTCAGGCTTACCTGTAGTGTAAAGAAAAAATAAACTGAGGGCATGCCTCTGGCGGTGTTTATGTCAGCAAAGCAAACTGAACAAAAACCATGAGACTCCCAGACCCACGCAAGATACTGTAAGGAAAAGGGAACCTACCAAATTTACTGAGTATCTCCTGTTGCTCGTCACGAGATGAGAAAAGGATTTTGGGGTTGAGGCCCTTTGTTTGGAAACCCTCCCACGGGTGGGACTTGCTGCTGGGTCTGTCCCTGGGTTCCACCTCGATGTCCAGGTTAACCTGGAACAAGTCGGGGTACTTCTCCTGAATGTCACAGGCGTCCAGATCATATCTGAGGAGAGAAGCGAGTAGATAGGAACAGTGTAAGGTACTTATATTTTCAGCTCCATATCATGGTCGGAGGGCGGGATACATACTTCGCAAACTTGACAGTAGTCGCGTTTCTGGGCACAAAGCCTGTGTGGAACTGGATCTGAAACATTTTCATGGACGCCATCTGAAACAGAATTTCCTCTTTTGTTAAAACACAAAGAATCATCTTTGCATTTTTATTTAATTTTTTGGGGGAAACAGACTCAAAGCATGGAAATCCACACGTATCTGCTTGATGCCCCCAGAAAAGTGCAGTGAAACGGCTCCTAAAAAAGTCAATTTCCTCAGAGGAAATGAAGAAAGTGGTTGACTGGTCCCCACCTTTGCCTGCAGGCGTCCTCCCAGCGTGGAGCGTGCATGGTAGATAACCACCAGCACATCTCCCTGAACCGTGACATTGAGGGGAATCTCCGCTCTGCCATCTTCCGTCTTGAAATCCCTGCAGAGAGACAGAGGAACAGAGGGTTATGAATGGGAACATTATATAAAAAATCTCTTTTTTTTTTTTAAACCCAAAAGCTACCTCATCTTGTCGTACTCCTGTGACGTGGTGAGGACTCGCTCCTCGCCGACGTAAACTTCGCAGAAGGGCCGGCAGCCGTTGCGCTGCTTGTTGAAGAGCGGCACGGGCGTCATGGTGATGGAGTGAATGGTCACGGGCTTGCAGTGGGGGATGATGGGTTCCTCAGCCATCATGTCGCACATATACTCGATGTACCTGACGAAGACATGGAAAATAGCATAGCGACTTATGCTCAAGAAAATCCTCCGTGAATGTACTGAGATTCGAAATAGGTGAGGACACTGGAGTCTGAGCCATGCTCGACACACTGCTTTGGTACCTCTTGTGTGAGGGTGTGATGCCGGGCGGGCAGCGTTTCATGGAGAACATGTAGACGGCGGCCTCGGCTGTGGTGAAAAGGCGACAGAAACACAAGAAGGAGCAAACCGCCACGGCCGATGCAGCTCTGCCATCCTACGGGGACGAGAAAATGTATTCTTTTTTTTTCGTTTTTCAGTCAAAGGAATAAAAACCATCACATTGTTGTGAGTATTTATATAATTTACATATGTATTTTGTAAATGTGTCCATCTTAATGATTCAAGCATTCGTAGCTGTATTTTTATAGCTCCGCTAATTTATTTTAAAACAATTTTAATGAAGTGTTTCCTGTGCTCTGAGTCTGAGACATTTCAGTGAAAAGGGGACTGTGGGTTTTCCACACTTGTGAGCTCCATCGTAGAATGCAAAGACATAAACGGATGGAGTGACCTCTGAAACTCTGGGCAGGGAAGAATGACCCTGGAATAAGTGTTGATGCGTGTTTGCTGAGGCTGAAGCCCTGAGCCGGTCTGAGCACGCTCAGAGGGACATGTGCACTCACCAGACAGTGAACAATACAGATGTTCCTCTGGTCCTGTTTGAGCCACAGATGCATGTTCTTACATACGCTGTAGAGGCTGCGGAGGTTTGGGGCGCGGCGCACCTGCCAGTTACACTCTGAAACCTACCCAACACACACACACACACACATAAAGATATAAAATGAGAGAAGGGAAAAACAAAGTTGCAAAAAAACACATCTATCTTATCGATGAGAAACTAAAGAAATGGATTAATCTGATGGATTACCGAGAAGATGCAGATGACTATAATTTAGGGAACCCAAGCTAATTCCCCAAATGTCATGCCCCCCCCCAAAAAAAGACCCACACACACTTCATACCCTGTTGTGGAACCGAGAAGGCCTGTATGATCGTTTGGAGAGGTTGTAGACGGCATAGTGGCCGGCGTGACGTGAATCCAGGAACAGACGGACATCCTCTATGTTATTCTTTATCGCCGACTCCACCCCTTCAGCGGGGAAGGACATAACTGCACAAACACAAATTCATAGTAAGGTCCCCTTTGTTTTAAAAGCGATTGAATTATCAGATATTATGCCACATCCCTAAACTTTAATTACATTTTTTATGTGCTTATCAATGACATCATATTCATATTAAGAAAGAAAAAATTTTTTTAACAAAGGATGTCATCTGTACCTGCTATTCTGGATGTGATGTAGGAAATATCCAGGTCCCCCTTGGCATAACTGTTAAAGAAATTAGAAGTGCACTTAGAAAAGAAGCAGGTAAATCAGAGAGGACAGACACAAAAGAGTCATTTCTACAGGAGCTAAGTGGGAAAATAGGATTTCTTATGCCTGAAAGTCAGCACAGAGCTACCAAACAACAGAACTATGTGAAGTGGTTGGCAAAAACAACAGCAACTTCCCAACAGGATAAACTAAGGTCAGCCTGGCATCTACGGCTGTCCTACGATATATGCAAATTAGATTACAGCAATCCTCAGTTCATCTGTCTGATGAGTTTTAAATGCAGCACAAGCATCTGGTAGCATTCACTACTGCCAGCGGCTCCCTGGTGTTAAGAGGAACGCTAACAAAATTGGATTAAACAAAAAAAAGCCTTCCATGGCTTTGAAAGATGGAACATAACAACAAGGAAAGAAACAGAATAATTTCAAATTTCTTTCAAGTTTTGGAGCATAAAGACGGAACAGGGACGTCCAGGTTTTATGTGTACGTGTTAGGACAGACGAGTGATGCTGGTTAAGACACACAAAGCTGGAATGGTTACTCAGTGAGCAGGAGTCATATTAAATCTTTTAATTACTGTTCATTCATTCACTCATTCATACAGGTCACTTGTAAAATCAACTATTATCCATAAAACTTTTATACAATTTTTTAAAGTAATAATTTTGAAGAAAAAAATAATGAAAATATGTATAAATACAAGGATAAACATCCCTATGATGTAATGCTCTCCGCATACAAAGGTTTGGGTACAGGAATTAGATTTTTTATTTGTCTTCATTTCTGCAGTTTTTACTGACAGTGGAAATTTCAGCCTGGAACCTTTTAGAAATCAAATATTTTTATTTTCCAGCTGAGTCTGGAAAGGAGATGGGCTGATAACCCATCATGACTTGTAGAGACATTGGCTACTTTCATGCATTAGTATAATTTGAAAACAAAAAAAAATCTTTCAAATTTTGATGAACTTGGAAGTGAAACTGAACATTTAAGACATAAGCTAAAATTTTGACTTTGATTTGTAGCATCTTAAAAGAGTCTTAGGAGAAGTAAAACGGTATAACTGAATAGAAGATATTAAGCTTTAAGGAGGGGCAATTTAGAAAGTATTATGTTATGTTGTGCATAGCGCATACTATTTTGTTGGAAAATGTGGTCAGCGTGCTCTGCTATACAACCAACTCTAGTCTTAATGTTTGATTTGAGTTATTTTAAGAATGACCTCTTGAACTACACACTGGAAGGAAGTCTCATGTGATCTATCCCCTAAGTGCAAGTCCACTATCCACTCATGTCATCCTCGGGCGTTCATTCATTCAAGAGTATTACTGAGGGTGTGGTGTTAGGAATCGGTAAGCTGTGATGATGGACACGGCACGGCAGAAAGCCTCACAGCATGTTTGTTCTCTCTAAATCAAACACAGACTACAGAGCACACAGAGCAACGCATGACGGGACGCATCTTCACCGACCCATATTTACCTCGGGTTGCTAGGTGATGGACACATAGGGACCATGAGGGATTGGGACAGAGAAAGAAACGACAAAAAATAAATGAAAACAAACAAAACAACCCAACAAAAGGAGCAAAAATGATGACACAATAACTGAAACAGACGTTCAAATTTCGCTAGTGTGCAAGCTCTGGCTATTGGCGTTGGTTATCCTGTTGGTGCATAATGCACCGACATCTCAGAAGAACGCAGAATAATCAAACTGAGTAACAACTTAAAAAAAAAAAGAAGGTATGAGTGAATATGAATGATTATGCAGACAATTTTACAACCATTAACGAATGAAGCCAATGCAAATGTAAAAAAACAAGATGACTGTGTTCATCTTGTGTACATATGCATACTTTATTAACAAGATGTTTAAAATCTCCTGTGTCTTGCAGCATGCTGAAGTTAAAGGTGCATGTGTTTGGATACAAAACGCAGCGATGGGAATAAGTCAATTTGATAATTCATTTTTCATGGAGGTCAATAAAACTTTTTTGAATCAGGTTCTACAAAAACAAAACAAAACAAAACAAACAAACATGGTGAGCTGGACATAAACATAAATTACATAAAAGCACTTGTACCGAGTGTCAATCTGACTCACCTGGCCACCGACTGGATGACTTTAGAGGATGTATCTTTTATGTTGGTGAGGAAGCGCTCGGTTCCTCCTCTCAAGATATCCAAGATGCCACTTCCTGCCTGATCGGGGTCGTACACACCTGTAGATAACAGACAACATCACACATACGGCTTGGGTGCAAGATAACTGACCGGTCCAGAAAAAAAAATAAACTGACAATAAAAAAAGTTGTATCTTAAATACAAAGCATATTCAAAGCATCAGAAATCAAATCCAAATCTGCCTGATGTTGAGTTACAACCGGATGCTGTTTGAGCTACTACGCAAAAGAAAGCGCAAACACACTCTGCTTTTTGACAGATGGTTGAGTGTCAGTGCAGAAATCCTCTTAAGGGGCTTGGAGCAGCCCGGATGCATGCACCCAGGCTGTATGCGGTGTATGTGTGAGTGTGTGTATAAGGGAAAAATAATGAGCTTATTAAGTCTCATTTTGATAATGTAGAACTGGACAATAGAAAAGTTACTTTCTCACGTGATCCTTTCGCTTGTTTTTTAAATTAATTTCTAAAATAATCTCCTGAGGATTTGTACTGATTTGTATGCTTTGTTGACATTTTTTATTCATTTCTGCACAAACCCTGAAGAGATCAAAATCTCTCGTACTCGGGATAATAGATTGTAAGACTGCCCAAGCTAGCAGCTTTAAATTCTACTGAAATTCAAGTCATAACAGCCACAAAAAACAACACAGATATACAGGACTCCCAATAAAAATCTTTCAAATAAAGCATATTACAGGAGGCCTCACTTGTGATTCTAACTGTACCAGAAAAGCTATTGTTGAGAATAAACTGAGTTGATAAGCAGCTGATAACAGCTGAATAAAAACAGAGCAGAACATCAGTTTCTATGCGACATTAAGCAGTCTCCATGAGATCCACCGGGCTGCAGGCTTACGCATCACTCACGCAGGGTTAGTGTGCATTCGGGTGACCAGAACGCAGCAAAGTCTGCCCTGATCCTTGAGGTTAAAAACAACCGACTTAGTGACTGATGTTTGTGACCCTTCCTCCTCCTCAGAAGACATTTAGTAACTTCGAAACGCTTTAGATGTTGTGGAGCTGGTGGTACGTTCTGCAACAGCATCCTGAGGGCGTGGATGAGCATGTGTGTGTGAGAACATGTGTCTATGTCTGATTAGAAGTACCGTGTGTGTAGTACAAAAAAATTCTAAATTGCCTGAAATGAATAATTTAGCTCCATCACACCACCACAGAAAGGCTAAAAAAACAAAACAAGAGCAGTTATGTCTGTTTTCAAGCAATAATGTCCAGCCTAATTTGGTTGTTAGCTAGCAGCGTTTAAAATGTGTGGGTATTCTAGTGGGGTCATTCCCTGGTCGTCTTTCGGCAATAAACAGAATGCAAATGAGTACACTTTGGAGGCAGAAAATGACGCAACTCTACCATTATCTCCCAGACCAAAAGCTTTTAAGCCCCAGAAAAACGCTCGAAAACCGCCGCACTGCTTCACAGACCGCAACATTTCCGTGGCAATACTTTCACCTGCGTTGTTGTGGACGTTCTGGATCTGCATGGGCGGCTGGGCTCCATTGTTGCCGAAACCTCCGTTCTGCTCCAGCAGCTGCAGACATTCATAGCCATCATACACGGGCCGCCAGCAGTAGTAAGTGCTCAACATTGTTACCAGAAACTATTTGTGGACGGCGGGAGAGAACGAGACACAGATCCGACCGGGATGGAGAAACGGTGCGAGTTGTGTCAGGAATAAAAGGAACCGTAAAAAAAAGCCAATGCTATCTTTTTAAAACGCTTTTAAAAAAAGGAATAAAAGAAAATAAATTAGATTTTAAAAAAATTGGAAGAAGATAAAAAAAAATAACTTTCAAGAGAGATACCCCCCAAAAAAAAAGAAAGCAAAAAAGAAAGAAAAGCTTTCGTGGTGGGTCTGCGTGAGTACTACAGCAGCCAGAAAGCCTCTGAGCTCCCCGAACGGCCAGCCGTCCTTTGTCAGTATCTCACTCCCATCTCTGCTACATGTCACAGTCTGCCTCTCCATATGTCTGTGCTGAGCTGCCGCACAGAGAGGAGGATGAGGAGGAGGAGGATGCTAATCTTCTTACATCCAGCAGGGAAACTCCTTCTTAACCCTAATCAGATGAGCAATTACCAAATCTGCCCCGCACCGTGCAGATACTTAGCGGCCTAATTGGGATTCGGATTTAATTCAAGAAAAAGAAAACATATAGAAGCTTTGTGCCTCTATCTATTAATTTGCTTTAGAAAAAAAAAGATTAAAAAGGGGGGTGGGGGCGGGATGAACACTGATGCAGTTGCAACTGTGTAACAGGACTGTTTCAGGGAGGAAAGGTTTTGCTGAAGGAAAAGGAAATTCGTGGAGACCCTGGAGGGGTTTTGATGCCACGACTCTAAAGATGAAGCGGCAGCCATTTCTAACTTCGTATGCATTAGAGGTATGCCGGCAAGGGAGAATACAGACTCTTTTGTACTCACTTTGTGTTACTTAGCAAACCTGACCACATCAGGATGTGTGTGTGTGTATCTGTGTGTATCAGTGGTCTGTATGTTGGGACGCTAGCAGCTCGATATGGATGTGTCTCCAAACACACTCTGTGGGCGTCTACACGCCCCTGAAAAGGCAGAAATGGTGGCTTTCGGACACAAACCTCGGTAATGGGAGACTTGGGGTTGACGTTGCGCGCTGCTGCGATCTCCTGCAGCTGGTTGACCAGCTCAGTGATGGACAGTCGCTCTTCTGGGTTCACTTTCAACATGGAACCTGGGGAACACAGAGCGGGAGGCTGCGTTGGAGGAAGGACCGCCTGGACGGAGAACGGGTGAAACGGCGAGGGTGAGAGCTCGGCCCTTACGTATCAGGTCGTGATACACGGTGTACCTGACGTCATTCTGAGGGATGAGGTATTTCCCATTGACTATCTGAAGCTTGGCCCCATCCTCAAATGGATGCTGCTTAAAACACAGCAAGTAGAGGATGCATCCCAGGGCCTGCGTGGGAGAGGGAACACGATGAATGGTTTCCTTTAACATAGGTATAAACACAGTAAAACTTAGATAGAAGAAGAAAAAAAAACACATGCAGGAGCTGACCCAAATGTCTTGTTTGTCATTGATGGGAAAGTTGGAGTAGAGATCGATCATCTCTGGTGTCCGGTATGCTGGAGTGGTGTTCCGAGTGATCTACACAGAGCACAAGAGCCAAAACAACCCTGAGAATCCACAGTCAGATGTTTAGAATTACAGAGTAAAAACAGCTTTTAAATTTTCAAGCATTTCCACAGAAGGTCATCACCAAAAATAAATAAATAAATCCCTCGCCCTAACAATCTCTTTAGTGCAACCTGTTTGCAAACATAGGGGTAATTCCAGTGGGAAGCCGGTGTCCTGCAGGCTGAGGTCGACTGTACCAAAGCCTCCTTGTGTGGTTGTGTTATTAACATGATTAACCCCATCGATCGCTGCTTCCTGGACCTGGAGCAGCTAATTCAATCAAAGGCCTCTGGTTTCTGGTGTCATTACTGCTACAGATCCACCGAGACCTCTGAATGAGTCTTTTTCCTCATCTTTATTAGAAAAACTGACTGTTATGGAGCAATTCTAGAAAATAATGCGCATGTGTAAAAATATCAAACGAGGAAAAAAATGACAGTTTGACCCAGATTAAAAAACAAAGCAACTTAGACTATTTAGAGAGGGAATCCTTTTGAAAGCAAGTTTAACTACCTATTGGGAAATATGTCTAACAATTCCTGGACAGAACGAAAACATAATTTAAGAGAGTCGCAAAACGTATGGATCTGAAATCGGCAACTGGAATCTGGAGAATCCGGCAGAGCAGAAGCAAAATGCCTCAACACCAACTGGTATTCGTGAAGTAAAACAAACGGACGAAAACCAGGTCTAGATCTGGATGAAGACTACCACTGTGTTTTACTGGCTGATGGAGTAAAGGTGACTCTTTATGGGCCAGATCAAAAGGCTTGAGCCTAAATCGGTAATGAACAGAGGCATCACAGGGCCACCTTAATCTAAGATCAGCATTTTTCTTTCTGAAAAACCCACCCACAGTTTTTTGGAAAGTTTGCGATTTTGATATAGAAGACTGGTACAACACAAGCTTTTGGATCTCACTTTTTCAGTACAATGTGTGGTACGACGGAGCTCTTTGAGCAGCTATTCTGATAAAGGATGTATTGATTATAGAGGGGCTTTCTTCTCATTGCCATTAGCTGTCTGTGTGTGTACCTCATCCTCCACCATGGACCGTTTCTGGGCAGACCAGCTGTAGTCGGGGCGATGCGACACTGTGGTGGAGCTGCCAAAGTCACACAGCTTGATGGTGCCCTGATTACTAATCAACAGGTTCTCGATCTGCAACGCATCAGAAGGGGTGGAATTCATTACGGCCGGCTGTCGTAGTGACCTCTCGCCACTCGCTGGTCAGCGGGCCGGGGACCCACCTTGAGGTCTCTGTGGATGACTGGAGGTTTCTGTTTGTGCATGTGCTGCACGGCGCGGCACGCCTGGTAGAAGATTTTCAGCACGGTGTCGCACGACAGAGGGGCCCTCTGCTCTACCCGCCTTATGAAGTCCACCAGCTGACCTGAGGAACAGGAGACACAGAGACCGTGGGGGTGAATGGAAGCCGAGAGATCAACTGACCGGCAACCTGCAGCAACCAGTGGACACTAAAACTGCAACAAGCCTCTCTCTCACACACACAAACACACCTTAGAAACACTCCTGAGACCCAGAGTCCTCATATTAGGACATTTTTAACTCCCTTTACTTTGATATTTGATTTTTTCCCCAACAGCTAGTGTTTGCTATCAAACACTAATGTTTGAAATCTAAAATTAAATGGTTTCATACACTAATCATGTCCTTATTGTGTAATTAAAATTGAGTAAAAAAAGGAATTTGGACGATCAGAACCAAATTGCAGAGAAAAAATACCTAATTACACATTTTAAATACAAGGATAAACCCACTGTCTCTAGGATATCTCATACATCTTCTGACAGGAAAAAAAAACATACAAACTAATCACCAAGTCAGAATTAAAAAAAATATAAAGTTTCTACCACTTCTGGTCTTTTTCTCTTTTTAAACACTGACACACACTTTTTTTGGGCAGTGAGTGCTGATGGAAGCGATAATGACGCTGCAATTTGCAGTGAATGAAAAGAAATAAGCAAAGCACGTCTGTTGTAACCCAACGAAAGGGAAGTAGAGCCGGAAACAAAACGACCGCAGACAGGAAGCTCTCAGCACAAATCCTTTTGGCGTTTTACGGTGGCAACACCGACTTCCTTCCTTTTTGCATTTGATGAACGAGTAGTGTTTGATCCAGCCCTGTAGGTAGTGGACAGGGGATGAGGAGGCAGAGAAAGACGTGTGATGGCGTTTACCTTTACAAAGCTCGGTGAGGATGAGGAACTCGGCCTGCCCGGTGTCCGACTCCTCCTTACTGATGGACGCGGCGGAGCAGAACTGAACCATGTTTGGATGACCTGACAATTTTTTCTGTAGAGCCACAGGGTCAAGGGCTACAAGGAACACTCATTCTGTTAGGTTTAGCCCCGCCTCACTAGCCTCAAGGGCTGACATCTGATAACCGACGCGGATATTTTTGTTCCACAGGCGGCAAATTGAGTTCGTCTAATGTTGAAAGTAAAGAGTGAATTGGTGTAACCAGGAGTCAAGTTGATCTAAATGGTAATGCAGGGTGTCTGAGCCCATGAATATACAAATCTGTATCAAGTCAATGTGCCAAAAACTCAAGAACTAATTTCTCCAGGAGCTGTATACTCTGCTCCATGTTTTTCCTCAAAGAAAAGACGGAAGAAAATGGCTCGTTAAACGTAAATGCCGCAAAAAATACTTAATCCGCTAAATATGTGTCAGCTTTTGCATTTCCCATGCTTACACTGTTGCTAAATAAACTCCAATGATCCTGTAATGGCAGCATTCCACACCAGAGGTCTGTTTGCTGAGTCGTTAGTTTACAGCTTGAACTTTTTCAAACGACACCATCTGCTGCGTAATCGGCCACAAAAAAATCTACGGCATAAACTGTCGGTGGACCCCTTTCCCATCGCGTGTATCAAAGGATACCATAAAGCAGACTTCCTGTATGATTTCCTTGTTCTTCTCTTCCTCGTTGGACAGCAGCCTCTGAAAAGAAAACATTCAAACAGACGGTCACTTTGTGCCTACGGTCATTCGATCACACAACATAAGAGGGGGTCGTATCAAACGGGCCTCCTTCATGGGGTCAGCTTAGGTGGTTTTCCATTCAAATTGAGGTCCTAACATGCATGGTATGGCGGTGACGGTGTACCGGATGAACCTCCGGCTGAACCTCCTGGTTGGACCCAGGTGTCGTTCACTTATTGGGCCTTTACAAGATTGACTTGTCTCAGAACCAATAAAATGCTGCATTTCTTAAAAATAGGCATGGTTACAGTGATGGGGGTCGCTATGTGACTCCCTGGCCAATCAGCAACTGGCGGTCTGAGATCGGCCTGAAGCTTGGTTGAGTCAGGGCCTAAACCTTAACAGTTAGGAGGTGACGGGCCGTAAAGGGCAAAAAACGAAACAAAAACAAAAAAACGAGCAGTCAAGTTGAATAAGCATTTGTGAAAAACCCCCATGCACAGACAGCGCACGCAGTCTTTGTTATGGAAATAAGGGATCCAGAGTTCCCTTGACGCTTTAAGTAATACTTCTAGTATTGAAGACCTGAAATCCTAGTCAAGTCATAGTTCTTCCTCTGTGAATAAAGATAGTTTCTTTCTGATTAATGTGCTGGACAAAAAGCAGCTACAGGCTAAACATAGCCACAGTCCTGGTGTTTTACAGCATAAAGATAGCTCACTATTCTATACATCGGGAAAGGGAGGGAGCTTTTTTTCTTTTTTAAACCGCCAGGCAACCTGTTCATTGTACATTCAAGTGTCATCATAGGTTTTCACATCCTGACTCATGTTCAGCATCCTAATGATGTTGCACGCCTCAGTATCAATTCAGATGCCTCTTTACTTACAGGAGATAATTCAAGTGTGTTTCCGGATCAGAGATGTGGAAATTCATACTGGGTGATCCAGTCAAAGGAGAACAGTGGATGCACCTTTCACCTTACCTTGAGGGCGTACTCTTTCCCACTGCTCATGTCCTGGGCTTCATACACAAAAGCGAAACCACCTTACAAGGAAGAAAGAAAAAAGGGAGGAAAAAAAACAGGAAAAGTGGATTATTAACTGGCGATCCTCACTTTAATTTTCAAAGTGAACCCTTGCGGTTTTCTGTTGATTGTTGGTTTTGCGGACTAAGCCTGAACGTTTTACAGAAATCGAGCGGTGCAGAGCAGGATGTGTTGTAACATGTTCATTTCCACGTCTAACTGGTGACCGAAAAGCTCTGAAAAGTCACAGTCCGTACTTGTTTTCCTTTAAGGGGGGAAACCCAACTTTGCAAATGCTTAGACCAACATTGAAGGGTAACATATGTCCAGGGCTTTATCTGCAAATTCCCTAAAAGGACATATGGTTTTATGAAAAAGGCAGGCCGGTGGACGATCCAAACAAGGAAAGGGCAACGTTACCATAGTAATAAGTAAATCAACTACCAGCCTCTCTTGCTCCACAAAACCGGGTTAAAGACTCTAATCTATATAGCTTTATTTACACAAAAAACACTCCTCAGCTGAGTTTGACATGCACTTCATTATCCCACTACTGATTTGCTGAACTCCTTTTAGGGGTCAACCCACCAAGCTCGGAGTCCCACTCATTCTAACAGGAAATGGAAACCCTGGGTTGTTGAGATTAGTTGGAAAATCCTGAGTCTTTTTCTGTTAGTTGCTGGAAGATTTAAACATCCTCTCATCGGACACCAAACCATTCCGTTTGGATAAGATACGTTCTCTGTGCAAATGTCAAACACTTAGAAGAATAACGCTGGTGCACAGAGGCAGTAAAGGCACCGCCACTCACCGGATATCTCCTCTAAGATCTTGGGATAACAAAGACACCTGTTTAATGGAGAAGGGTTTGGACAGGGGAGAGTTTGAGTTTCAGGTGATCTTGTTCTTCGATCGTAACCACCTTACGTCTTATAAAAGCAATTTCGTGTTACTCATGACAAGTGTGGCATTTTTGTTAAGACAAGAAGCAACATGCGCATTCCAGGTTTCACTAATAAGTAAGCTGTGCTTCACATTAACTGAAGCCAGGCACTAAATATCACAGACTGGGCCGTTTACCAAAGACTGACTTCAGACTTCATCTGATTAACATACAATATGAGAAATCGACAATTTACCTGTTGAAAAGGTTAGAATTGGTCTGATATTTCCAAATTCTACTGACAGAAGTGGGTCATACAGCCAATTAAACCAATATCAGTTCACTTTTCACCAACCAATGCACAACATCCACTGTGAATGATAACAATAAGCAAAACATTCTTTTCAGATGAATTTTTTCCCCCATTTCACCACGTAATAGTTCTTTCTTACAAGACTTTGCAAAGAGGGCAACAGTGAGTGTCTGGTGCCACAGGGGACACCTGATCTGTAGCTCTTCAGATGTTCTGTAACCCTAACCCTAAGACATGGATAAAGGTGAGCTATGTGAGGCTAAATGCCCCCCCCAAAAAAACAGAAAAGAGCAAGCAAAAGCAAAGCTCCTCATGCACATGATGTGTGCATGTGTTCACGCTACAGCAATCAGCTCAGAAACAATTTGTTCCTTTTTAACAACAACACAACAACCCAGGGGACAACCATCCAAAGGCTCCGGTTTGGCTTTTGTGAGAAATCGGAATGGTTTGTTAAAACGCAGCCACTAACGTTTTCAATGCTGACATGGCTTCCTGACAACTGGAAAACTGTGATGTGTCTCTGAAGGCTGAAGGTATGCAGCCATCCAGCTGAGTCTTAAAGGAAAACTCGCGTTTGCCGCATTGTTTTACCGGCTTTTTTGCACCTTAACTACGAACAAAACACCACAGAGCACGACGCAAAGCGAAACCCGTCTGTTGAAAATCGATCCAGACAGTTAGCCAGATCGAAACCGAATGATCAACCTGTGTTTACTAAGTGCTGCTCGGGGGCTCTGCACTTGCTAACGCCGATGAATACCAATAGAGTTCTGCTGCTAGCCAGTTAGCTTAAAGGCTACCGAGCATGGCTACTTGTAAGACGGGGGTCGTTATTTATCCTCCTCGCGGGCTGTGGCTCACCTTCGGCGATAACCCTCTTGATTCTGAGTTTCATGTCACCGAGCTCAACCACTTGTCCGACGAAGTCATTCTGGTCCCGGCTGGCCGCTCCGGACGTGCCGGGCCCGGCTAGGAAATCAAGTGCCGACTGGAACAGTGACATCTTTATCCAGCGCCCGTTTCCAGGCCGCCTCCGCGAGAGGAAATGCGCTTTCTAAATCCCCGCAGGCTCGGCTGAAAAAAAAAAACTAACCTAAAGCAGTTTGGGATGTTATAAAGTCTTATGATCCGATAATAATATTATTTGACTGGAAGCAAACATCCTCTTCCTGCTGCTAGACTGACGAGGCCACTATCATCACAGTGCTGACTTCCGTGAAGGGTGGTGACGTCGAACACGGCAAAATCACGTGAAGAAATAAAAAATAAAACACGTCCCGATATCAAAAGGTAGTTCTTTCCCCATCAAAATTTGACCCAAACCAACGAAAACTAACGGATGAATTGGTGACTTTGCAAACTCTGGGCACGAGATCTAACTGAGAAAACGTAAGAGGAAATCTTAATCACGTCTGTAAAGATACCTGTCGCAACTTCATGTTCTCTGCTGCCACCTACTGGACAGAATCCGGTAAAGGTAAATGTCTTCAATTAGGATTTCCTGCACATATTCAGACAGACTGAACCAGTTTAGCCTGTTTAAATGAACGATTAGCTGGGACTCAGTCTGTCTATGGAATGCTTGCCGGCATTTTCGTGTTGTCATTATAAAGAAAGGTATTTCCAGTCATTTTTTATCAAAGGCTGCTGATGTGTCAAAGTTGAAGGAAGCTAATTGGTAAATCGAATGACCACGAGGTGGCAGCATTGACCAGGTTAGTTGCAAATCTGTCAGGCACTGAGCAGGTCGACTATTGACGGATGGGGGTCCTCTTCTCCTAGCACCTTGTAACTAAAGTCACAGACATATGTGTAATTTATTTGAGACTAAAGTAAAAAATAAATGACGACGTTGTTCTTGATACCGACAGACACCGAATCTGTAACGTGCAAATGTGCAGCTAGTTTAATTTCTTCAACTGTAAGTATGCTTGTGTTCCTGGTTCCAAACAAGCAAGAAAAACAAACAAACAAAACACAACAACAAAAATCGTTATTTATAATTATGCTAAAATTGTCTTAAGCATGCTTAAAAACGGAAATGAATTTATGGGAAAAATGCTTTTAGCATTAGTTATAATTTTTGTTTATCTCTATAATTCTTGTGCAGTGACAACATGAATAGGTACCCTCTATTTATATACAGGCCCAAACATGTTTCTAGAACCCGGAAATTTATTGAATTTCTATCTATCTATCTATCTATCTATCTATCTATCTATCTATCTATCTATCTATCTATCTA